AGGCAACTCCCCTTGTGCTGGTTTTGGCTGGGATAGAGTTAATTTTCCTCATAATGGCTACTATGGGGCTATGTTTTGGATCTGTGCTGAAAAGAGTGTTGGTAAGACAGGGATGTTTTCACTATTGCTGAGCAGGGCTTACACAGAGTCAAGGCCTTTGCTTCTGCTCACCCCACCAGCGAGCAGGCTGGGGGTACACAAGAAGTTGGGAGGGGGCACAGCCGGGACAGCTGACCCCAACTGACCAAAGGCATATGCCAGACCATATGACATCATGCTCAGCATATAAAGCTGGGGGAAGAAAAAGAGGGGGGGAGGGGAGGAGTGGGCATTTAGAGTGATGGTGTTTGTCTTTCCAAGTCACCATCATGCATGATGGAGCCCTGCTGTCCCAGAGATGGCTGAACACTGCCTGCCAATGGCAAGTAGTGAATGAATTCCTTGTTGTACTTTCCTTGCGTGTGCGGCTTTTGCTTTACCTATTAAACTGTCGTTATCTCAAACCACAAGTTTTCTCACTTTTATTCTTCTGATTCTATCCCCCTTCCCATCGAGGGGGAGGGGATGAAGGGGAGTGAGCAAGCAGCTGTATGGTGCTTAGTTGCCAGCTGGGGTTAAACTGTAACACCTGCACCATTGCTAAAGCCATTCCTTAGCAGCACACATAGTACATATCAAAATGTCTCACCAATCACCCTGTCTAGCCAAAATGCCATTAACTCACCTATCTCGCCACTTCTTTACAACTTAGGACTCAGGCACTTGTGATCTTCCTCCCAGCTTTCAGGTTTTGCTTTTCTGCCTACACACTCTCCCGCTGTTCCCATGGGCACTTCCCTGTCAGGCAATTGCTTCCACAGAGAAACTTTCTTCCTGGTTTTGAACAGGGAAGGTATTTGGACACTGGGAATCTCATGAGTCTCAGGGGATTTATACATCCCACAAGCAAGGAGAGGTCTCCTACAGACAAGATGACCCTCACAGAGACCATGGGACTTATGCACCTTTAATACTGCTGCTTTAGTAAATGGCTGTAAGCTAAGAGAGTAACTTAACTGACCCTGCTTCAGTTCAGCGGAGAGACAGACACACGCTAAAGCAGCAGGTACTGCATCAAGCTGGAAAGAAAGATCCATAGATTTATTTCATGTAGGTGAGAAGAAAAACAAGGATACAGCTGGTGCAATCTTACCAATATGGAAGGAAAGCTATTTTAGTTTCAGAAATATTACACGTGTGACCTAATCAGATAGGAATATTTCCTATTCAGGAACAGATGGGTAGGAAGCCTTACTCCATACACATTTCCTTTTCCTCTAAGCCCTTTCTGAATTTAGTTTTTTAAGGTTAGGAATTGCCATCGCACTAGACTGGTTTTCTCCACAACAGGAGTTACACATTTTTATATTTTATGCAGGGAGAAAATTAGAAGAGGCAAAATCCAACTAGAACTTAACCTGACTACTGTCATAAAAGACAATAAAAAATGTTTCTATAAATACATTAGCATCAAAAGGGAGGCTAAGGAGAATCTCCATCCTTTATTGGATGCAAGGGGAAACAGTGACAAAGGATGAGGAAAAGGCTGAGGTACTTAATGCCTTCTTTGCCTCAGCCTTTGATAGTCAGACCACTTGTTCTCCAGGTATCCAGCCTCCTGAGCTGCAAGACAGGGACAGGGAGCAGAGTGAAGCCCCCATAATCCAAGGGGAAATAGTTAGCAACATGCTACACGTCTGTAGGGCCAGATGGGATCCACACAAGGGTACTGAAGGAGCTGGTGGAGGTGCTCACCAGGCCACTTCCCATAATCTATCAGCCATCCTGGCTGACTGGGGAGTTCCCTGTTGACTGGAGGTTAGCAAATGTGACACCCACCTGCAAGAATGGCCGGAAGAAGGGGCGGGGTAATTCCAGCCCTGCCAGTCTGACCTCAGTGCAGGGGAAGGTTACGGAGCAGATCACCTCAAGCACCATCACACAGCATGTACAGGACAACCAGGTGATCAGACCCAGTCAGCATGGGTTTATGAAAGGCAGATCCTGCTTGACCAACTTGATCTCCTTCTATGACAAGGCAACCCACTTAGTGGATGAGGGAAAGGCTGTGGATGTTGTCTACCTGGACTTTAGCAAAGCCTTTGGCACTGTTTCCGACAGCATTCTCCTGGAGAAACTGGCAGCCTATGGCCTGGACAGGCATACTCTTTCCTGGGTAAAAAACTGGCTGGATGGCCGGGCCCAAAGGGTGGTGGTGAATGGAGTTAAATCCAGTTGGTGGCCAGTTACAAGCTGTGTCCCCCAGGGCTCAGTTCTGGGGCCAGTCTTGTTTAATATCTTTATCAATGACCTGGATGAGGGGATCGGGTGCACCCTCAGTAAATCTGCAGATGACACGAAGCTGGGTGGGAGTGTTGATCTGCTTGAGAGTAGGAAGGCTCTGCAGAGAGTTCTGGACAGGCTGGATAGAGGGGCTGTGGCCAACTGTATGAGGTTCAACAAGGCCAAGTGCCGGGTCCTGCACTTGGGTCACAACAACCCCATACAACACCATGGGCTTGGGGAAGAGTGTCTGGAAAGCTGCCTGGCAGAAAAGGACTTGGAGGTGCTGGTCAACAGCCAACTGAATATGAGCCAGCAGTGTGCCCAGGTGGCCAAGGCGGCCAATATCATCTTGGTTTGTATTAGAAATAGTGTGGCCCGCAGGAGCACGGAAGTGATTGTCCCCCTGTGCTCAGCACTGGTGAGGCTGCACCTCAAATATTGTATTCAGTTTTGGGCCCCTCCCAACAGGAAAGATATTGAGGTGCTGGAGTGTGTCCAGAGAAGGGCAATAGAGCTGGTGAGGGGTCTGGAGCACAAGTCCTATGAGGAGCGGCTGAGGAACTGGTGTTGTTCAGCCTGAAGAAGAGGAGGCTGAGGGAAGACCTTATCGCTCTCTACAACTGCCCGAAAGGAGGCTGTAGTGAGGTGGGCGCTGGTCTCTTCTCCCAAGTAACAAGCGATAGGACAAGAGGAAATGGTCTGAAGTTGCACCAGGGAAGGTTTAGCTTGGATGTTAGGAAAAAATTCTTCACTGAAAGGGTTGTCAAGCATTGAACAGGCTGCCCAGGGAAGTGGTGGAGTCCCCATCCCTGGAGGTTATTTGAAAGACATGCAGGTGTGGTGCATAGGGACACAGGTTAGTGGTAGACTTTGCAGTGCTAGGTTACTGACTGGACTTGATCTTAAAGGTCTTTTCCAACCTAAACAATTCTGTAAGTCTATGTACAGCACAGTTCAGCTGCAACAGAATTGCCAGGTTAAAACAAGTAATCTCATCCCTTTGCAAAATTCATCCTTTCTAAGTAGTTTTGCAACCACACTGTACGTAAGAAAAGCTTGGCATAAAGTAGGTGAAGAAGAGAGAAACCTAGACGGAAAGTTTCAATTGGGTAACAGGAGCACAACAGCCACAAATCCCAATAGATCAACTGTTCATCTCACTGGAAATTTTAATTTCAGAAGAGACAGCAGGACTGATCTCACAGCTCACAGTAACTAAAATAGAAACACACCACCCCCACTGCCAAATAATAATCCACAGGCTTTAAAAAAAAGCAGAGAACGTAAAACTTCCAGGGTTTGTTTCTCTCCTAAACTACGAGTAATGGGTTTGCATAGCTTAAGGCAGAGCCTGCGCAGAGAGCCATTGTTCCTTCCCCTAGGCCTTCGGCTTTTCCAAGGGGCATTCCCTCCCCTTCGGTACCCCCGCTACAAGCAATCCTTTATCGGAACCTGCCTGACCGGCAGCCATGGCAACACGGCGGGATTACCAAACCCAAGCCTCTTAGCAGAAACCACGAATCTCCCCTCAAATTTTATTT